TTTTCAACAACCTGGCATCATTTCATTCTTTTTCAACAACAGTTTGATGGATATTTTCAGAAATGAATGGTAAAATCTACACATTGTCTCTTTAAGGAAATCACATTAATGCTTTTCATCGTTATTCTTATTTCACACACATCACTGGTTGAAGCACACTGTGACTCTTACAGTCGCTCTTCTAAAAGAGCATCCGGGGGAGATATTTGGATTGTGTTCAGTGGGTGGAAAATTCCCCCTTGTGCATCTCATTAATCACACACAGATGATGTGAAGCACGTCTATTACAGATTTTATGTCTCTGCTGATGATCAGTCAAATAGCGCATCGATTCAACTCTCCGCCAAAAACCACCGTAACAGTAAAAGCTGAGAGGCGATCTGATCACATTCACTATGATGCCGTTTAGGCGCCCGCCGGTAAACGCAAACTGACTTTCCTAAAAATTCCCTTGGAGTAGAGAATTTTCTCCCTCCTTTGATTCTATCTTCGACACCTGCTCCCACACTTTCTTTCATCTTCCTCACTCCCTCTCTCCTCTCCTCCTTCTGCCCTGTTGGTCTGAGGCCAATCGTCTATCAATATCTGTGCTGATAGGTGGTAGCATCACAAGAACACCTCTGCTTTAACCACGATGCTTGGTAAAGCCTTGGTATTGATTATGTGTAATTAGTTTGTCCCTTAACTAGTGATTGGTGTGTAGGACAAGTGTGAGGGAGGTAGAAAGGAGGAAAGGACAAGGGGTCAAGGAGGACATGTGGAGGGGTTGGAGAAAAGAGGACAGAACTGGGACGGGCCTAGAACAGGCGAATGTCCAGAAATGGGACAGCAGCATAAACAAAACAAGAAAAGACACCTGGTTTGTGTTCCTTACCTTCCGATCATGGTGGAGTGCTGCTGGACAGCTGCCTCCAGCAGCCTCTCCAGAATGGTCCATTCTCCCATGGTGATGGAAACACGGCAGAGCGAGCTGAAGAAAGGGGACTCGGGGAGCTGATCTGTCTTCTGTCTTGCTCTTTACAGGACCAGCCTGTCTGCGGACCAGCGAGGGGGGTGCACCAAATCCCCCACACCAGCTCCCTCTTGACCTCTACGCACTGACCCGGCTCCTCGTCTCTGAGTGTCTTCTGCCGGGCCTGTCCCACCAAGCTGAAGGAGAGGTGCTGAACTCACTGCCTCCCCCCTTCTCTTTGCCTCAGTTTTCTCCCCCCGCCCCAGTGCAATGATGCTTGTCCTCCCCCTGCAGCACCACTCTGCTCTGCGCTACAGCATATGCTATAGCTCACAGTATGACAGCCATGATCACCCTCTCTCTTCCACTTTCCTCTCCCCGTCCTCTATCTGTTCTCTCCTTCTCCTCTTCCTCCCCTGTCTCCCTCCTCCTCCACCCCCCTCTACCCTTACTCCCAGTGCACTCTGTGTACTTCAGGTGCACTCTGTGCCATTGGTGCTGCTCTACACTCGTCCTTGCATTGTGGTTCTTTGCCTTTGCTGCACCCCTGCTGCTCTAACCTAAACACACACCACATACAGCTGATCTTCCTTGGCTCACCTTAGCCAACAGCACTGTAAACACACACACACACTTTCACACAGCGACAGCTCTGAATCCCTCTCTCCCACTTCCTACAGAGGACTGCAGATCCAGACCAGCACACAAAGCTCCTGCCTGCTAAATGTCACTTCATGACTGGAGGAATGGTTGCTCTCTCGGAGCTCCGAGCACTACACAGACCTGTAAAAACCTGCACACACATACATACGCTCAGAGCCGCGTGCACAAACATGCTGCCATCCAGGTCCTCAGTAATAAATCAGCTGCCTTGCTGCATCCAGCGAGAATTAACCAAAGCACTTTGCTGCAGACCTGCTGTCCTCTTTCGTCCTACTGGCAGATTTCAGCACACTCCGATGCCCAGAGTCATGTCTGCTGCAGGGAGCAGGGATGAAAAGCTGTCCTGTAAAACCTATTTCTGGGCTCCATCATCCAGCATCCCCCTTTCTGCCTCCCCCCTCTCTCTCTCTCGCTCCACCTCCGTTCTCTTCCTCCTTCCCCTCTCTCCCCCGTTCCGGTTTGTTTGGATCTCAGTCCTGCCAGCTACCTCTGTCTCAATGGTCGGTCCCCATCTCTGCTCTCAGAGCTCTGTGCTCTCCTCTCTGTCCCTGTGCCTCTTCCTCGCTCATCGCTCTATCTCTGTCACACTCTGTGAGCATGCAACACCCCCCTCCCTCCTCCCTCCCCATCCTCTCAGAGATCTGCTCCCTCTCATCTCTCTCCCTCTTTCACTCCCTCCCTTTCGTCTTCTCGCCTCCTCTGGTAAATGTGCTTGGATTGCTACCCTGATCGCTGCTTCACTTATGCTTGCAAGACTCCCTCCTGCTGTACTGCTGCACCTGTCTCAGGCTGACGCTGAACAGGGCGAATCTGAGATCTAACCGCGCCTCCTGGCGTGTCTCAGCAACCCTTTGTTCCGGGACCTCAGCCGTGTTTCATGTTCACTTCAAATGATCTCTTCCTCTTTTAACCTCCTGGAGGAGAATCAGAGGAACTCTTCCATCACATCCACTATTTATCTCCTCACCTTTGTCTATCTTACTGTACTGAGTACAAAAACACACCTATTTGATCCTCACCCAACCTTAATGCCCTTTCTGTATTTCCTCTCATCGTGTTTCTCAGTTCCCCCACCCACCCTACATGCAAGCCTCCATGCTCTCTCTCGCTCCCTCTCAGGAGAAATGAGCAATGTATTGTACTTTGCAGTGACATTGAAAGCTGCATTCATTGGATTTATGTTAAGGTTGAGAGGAAGTATGCTGGTCCTCCACCATTACGCCCACAGATGCAGGCAAACGTACGGTGTGCAGTCAACACACTCACAGCCGCAAGACAAATACATCTGCATTCCTTCCACTAAAGCCCAGGGGAGAGGGTGATTAAACTAAAGAAAGAATCACAAAGTTGCTTCCCGAGATGTGAGTCATAGTAATAAGGCTTTCCCTTTCAGGACACTGAGCCAAGTTCTGCAGAAGTAAACGACGCAGGGTGCAGCACAGCAATGTGAAGTCCTGGCTACAGAGCATGTCCTTGAGCTTTTATGGAAAATTCAAAATTATATTAAAGTGGATTCTCAAAGAAAAATGATGAAGTGAAGCCATTTTCCATAACCTTCCCTCCAAATGTGAACGCGGTAAAGATGAAGAGAGACTGGGGGGGACATAGATCTACCGAGATTTTGCCAGATCAGCATCTTCAGCAGGGGGACTGTGGAAAGGAGGGGTGGGGGTATTTTCCTTACCAAGGACATAAGGCGTAGGAGTGCTAAAGCAAAGAGGGGGATCAGTGGAGTGTGATGGCTTTGGTTTGGCAGAAGCAGAGCAGCTGAAGCACTGGCATCAGCCAAACGGCACTCCGGGAATGGGACATGAATGAGAAGGGGCGCAGGTGTGTGTCTTCTCTTCAGTGACCTAGAAGGGTTAGCTAAAGCAGGCACAAAAATACCGCAGACTTTAACTCCACTGTAGGGATCCAGAATTTGGATATTTTTACATTTTTTCAAGTCAAATGTTGATTTCCCTTTTAAGGTTGTGTAATCTCACTAAATTACAACATCTCCTACTCTGAAACATTACAAAGGCCATGAAGGGACTTTGATTAGTGTTCTGACCTCTAAAACGTTCATGACGTGTTGTAACAAGGGAGGAAATGAGGATATCAAAAATGATTGTTAATGAATGAGAGTTGTGTTGAGTTTCAGGAGAGCACAGGTGTGTTAACAAGGGCTGCATTCCATTTAGAAGTGCTGTGTGAACCAGCTGCAGGATGGGAATGCAGTTCTGCTTTTCTTGCAAGGCCAATTGCATGAATTAAACAAGAATCAGACCCATTTTTATGAACATTTGCAACAAAATGAAACCTGTACTTTCACTCTGACACCCATCTCTGCATAGGGAGCTAAAGAGAGTCACCTTGTAAATTGCCAGAGGGCTTCATAACAGCTGTCGTCCTACAAGCTGGAGGTCACCAGCTGTAAAGGCTCCTGTAAACAACAGAATCAGATGACAGTTTAAAAACGTGTCAGACAAAGCCGGCTCCACAAAGTTCTACTATCACACCTACATCCTGTTAAACGTGATCTAATTTTTGTTAATGCCAAATAATTAATGCCAGTTGATTTTATGTTGAAAGGCTGCCAGCAAGTGCTGCCATCACTATAGTGACTATAAAACCACACATGTTAATCCTGCAGTGATGTCTCAAAATAGTCCACCCTGAGCAAAGACAAGTGACATTATTCAAGCATCAACAAGGCTGATGATCAGAAAAGTGCACACCAAAATAATGCACTCTCTTCCAAAATATATTGTAATTTAAATTTTTGATCTAACCTTTAGGTCTCCTTTGACCCCAATTAGTGACCCAAGTGTTGCTAATTAGCATTTTTGTTAAAAGCACTATTTGCAGCACAGATCTTGCTCGTTTTCCTAGTCTTTGTATTTACCTCATCAAATTAACTTGAGCAAATTAAACTGAAAACATTAGGTGTAACTAGGATGAAATAGCAAAATTTGCAAGAAAATAGTTGAGACAGATTTGTTGACTAAAATTTATTAAAGAATAAACTTATGGAGACTGTATCATACCGTGGTGATAAACACAACCACAGGACAGACCAGGTTCTTCAGAACAGCTCATAATAATTAGATTAAAATCTAAATTGCTTAGTGTGTGAAATGTCTGCAGTGGTGTGAGCCCGCCCTCTTGTGGACATATGAACATAAAACATGTGTCCAACACGAAACCCATGTTTTACGTTTCCAGATTTGTTTAAATTCTACAGTTAATCTAGAAATTATATATGAATGTAATCATAATAAATCCGTATTCTGCATGGTATAATCCAGCTATCATCTTCTTGCTGTTGAATTGTTTTCAGTTGTCATTGTTGTTTGTTTTTGTTTCACCGCTAGATGGCAGCATAACGGTTCGGCTGTAACAGCAAATACGGCGCGAAGAAGAAGTGGCCCGGTGTAGTTCGCTGATCTGCTGGACTGAGGCTAACTTGGTAGTAGTAGTCACAGAGTTGTAAAATAGTATATTAACGCTAAGAGGGGTGGTTACAGAACAGCACACATCAACAAGTGGACAGGTTTAAAGGCTGGCACACGAATTCCGGACCTTTAAATAGTGAGAACAGCTGCTTAGCTATCATTTAGCAGGCTAGCTGGAGAGTTTCTGAAGAGGATTGTCGGGTTCGTTTGATCCAGTCATGTCTACGGCCGGAGACTTCGGAAACCCTTTAAGAAAATTTAAACTGGTCTTTCTTGGGGAACAGAGTGGTAAGTTTCTCACTGGCTGGGAGAAATAAAAACTTAACTATATTTAAACTTGGTTTCCTTAGGATGTATAGTTGAGTTACTCCGGTGTTTAACGCCAGTCAGTTAGCCTGCTAACATTAGCTGCAAATCGTAATACTTGTTAAATTGCGACACAGTTGATGTCGTCTTGTCCACGCTGGCTCCGGCGTTCACTCTCACCTAGATGACTCATGATCGTGGAAATGGACTTGTTCACCGGGTCACTAACCGCAGTGGGCTCGAATACCAGCGTCAGTGACGTATGAAGTTTCATTTAGAAGAACACGGGTCAGTTTTAAGTGGCAAAAGTAGTAAAACGTTCGGTTTGATTATAAATACTTTCCTTTATGACGCTGCTACAGTGTTTTATCATTGTTTATTAACTAGCATTCCCAGCTTTAGTGTGTAAACGTAACAATGATTACATTCATCATCTTTTTTCCTACCCTTGGGGCACTTACCATAATCCAAACCTGCCTGGTCACATTCCTACACTCCCCCATTGACCTTTGTTCCAGTCAGGGTTCACAAACAATCTGCCCCAAAACTGAAAGATGTTTGCGGTACTCTGAACAGTGTAGTGCTGTTATTAGGTTAAGTACATGTATTTCCCTCAAGCTTTAGCTAAAACACCACTGTGTGAGCTTAATTTGGGGTTTCAGGTTGGTTTGGTTTAGCTGAACCAAGTCTTTTCTGTTCTTATGCAAGCTGTTGGTGACCCATTATAACAGAACTTCATGTAAAAGCTTTCATTTTTTTATAATCATGAATATGTTTCTGATATAAAACCTTTCTGGAGATGAATTTATGCAGGAAAAAGACGATGTCAAACAAATGATGGCTTCTTATGTTTCTTGTTAACCTCTATGAAAATTTAGGTCCTTTTATTATCAAAAATGTTCTTATTTTTAAGTTTTTAACACATTTAAATGCTTCATCCCATGTTCACGGTCCAGTCTGCTTTGCATTACTTTCTGGGAATGAATAATATAGCCATATATTAGGGCTGCACAATATATCGTAAATATATCGTTATCGCGATATCAGCATGAGCAATATGCATATCGCAAAGAACATAAAAATATCGCATTGAACGGTCAGCTCAAATGTTTGCTTCACATAATGTGTTCTGTCAATCAGAAACATGATGTTTTTTTAAACAAATCAAAAAGAGCTCTTCACCCATTTGGCCAATCAGGTGGGATCTCATAGTTTAGGTGCCCGCCCCGAGGCAAACGGCACATAATTTTAATGGTTAGCAAACACAGTTAGCTTTTTTCTGCTCTTTCTGCTGATTCTGCCTTTCCCGGGATCCACTGATCGCCTTTTCTTGATCATTTTCTTTTTCCTCACATCTTTTGCGTTTCTCATTTTTATGATTTTTTTATTTCTTTGTTTTTGATTATTTTTGTTCCTGAATTAAGTTTTTATTTATCGAAAGTAATATCGTCATCGCAATATTAATCACTGATATCGAATATTGCAGGTTTCCCTAATATCGTGCAGCCCTACCATGTAGATTTTCCGAATAAACTCAAATCATCAAAGGAATGAGCTGCAAACAAATTTCCCTCTAATCTCTAATTTCCCTTTGGGATTCATAAAGCATTTTTGAATTTGAATGTACACACAAGCCCTTAGAGAGCCTTTTTCTTTGGCATGTCTGATGGTCTTCACTGCAACACTCACTTTCCTTTAGGATGAGAACAAGACATTCTACAAAATCTGACCTTTCCTTATCATTCGGTACATTTATTTCCACGTGGCACAGCCTTTAATGGGACTCATCCAGATAAGGCAGACAGATATTGTGTTTGCTCATCTGTAATCAGCTGTTGGTCCTTGCTGCTGTGTTGGCTTCAGCTGTGTCACCGTCACTTGATGCACGCTGTAACCGATATTGTAACTCGAGCTCGACACAGAAACGGTCTGAGGCCGAGGAGCTCAGCCCCAGATCTCAAACCAACATGAATCCACTCAGCAGCAAATGTTCTCCACAAAAATACCCCAGATATACAGTATACTCCACTCAACCTTTACTTATACAGCGCCGTTCACAGAAATAAAATTCACAAAGTGCTTCACTGTAGATCTAACAATAAAAAGTAACATCAAGATATTAACAATAAAATTTTATTTATAGTATATAAAGTACTTTATGAATTGTTTACATATGCCAGATGTTACTTTAATAACTTTTAATTTATGAAATGTGAACAAAAACTTGAAGCTGTAATTTTATTACATTTGTGACAACGTGTCATTTTCTTTTGGGCTTTAGGTCATCATTGTGTTTTCTTGTGGAAGAAAACTCGATTCATTTATTTTAATTTGGTTTCATAAATATTCTGATGTTTTTAATCAATGAACTTATGTTCAATATTTGTCAAAAACTTTTATTTTGGTCATTTTGAAATATTTAGTCCTGTGTTTGTGTTTCAGTGGGAAAGACTTCATTGATCACCCGGTTTATGTATGACAGCTTTGATAACACATATCAGGTGAGTTCACCTATTCTTTGATTATAATTATGCTGATTGATGCTGACTAAAGGTAATTTTCCCCATTTGTTGTCAGGCAACAATAGGGATAGATTTCCTTTCAAAGACCATGTACCTCGAAGACAGAACAGTAAGTTTATTTTCATCTCCTGTAGGGTATGGGTTGGTAAAGAATCTGTGTGTTTTCTCCACCAAACACACACACACACTCAGGGCTGGTTTTTCTCTCTAATGTGATTATGGTGCCATTTAGCTTCACTGTTTGTACCAAGTTTTCTCCCTCTTCTTCCCACCTCTGCATTAATCCATCATCACATTTTAAAACAGAAAACTTTACCCTGACGAGTGAAGGGTGACTTTTTCTTTCCCCTCCAGGCCCAGACAGCTTTTCTACCTGCATGCACTACTCCCTCTGTCTCTGTTTTCCCTTCAGCCATACTTTATTTGTTCTTCTTTCAGTTTGCTTGTCATCACATAAACTTAGCTTGTTTGTCTTTTTTTTTTTTTTTTTTATTCCATTGTCTCTGTTTTATTAGATTTTATTTCTTTATTCTTTGTTCCATCCTCTTCCTGCCCTACAGATTCGGTTGCAGCTGTGGGACACGGCGGGGCAGGAGCGATTTCGCAGCCTGATCCCAAGTTACATCAGAGACTCGGCTGCTGCTGTCGTAGTTTACGACATCACAAGTAGGTGATGCCACATCTGGAAATAAAACACATCCTCATACATCCGCTGTTATTGTAATGTCTTCTTGTCGCTCATTCCTTTGATTTTTAGGCTTTCTCTTCCTGAGTAGTGATGCTCTGCTTCCTGTTTGGTTTCCTTTTAGATGTCAACTCTTTCCAGCAAACTACAAAGTGGATCGATGATGTGAGAACGGAGAGAGGAAGTGATGTCATTATTATGTTGGTGGGAAACAAGACAGATCTTGCAGACAAAAGGTAAGTTTTAAACCAGCTCAAATCACTGCTTCCATTTAAACACCAGCCTACCACCAGCCGATCTGCAGCGGAACAAGTTCTCTCTTCTCTTCGTTGATGTCATTTGTGATGATTGTTTTCTGATTTACGTCTGTCTAGTTGATGCTTTCGGTCTTCCTGTTTCTTTTTTTGTTGCATCTTTTAACTTCCTTATCTACCACAGGCAAGTATCTATTGAAGAGGGTGAGCGGAAAGCCAAAGAACTAAATGTAATGTTTATTGAGACTAGTGCGAAAGCAGGCTACAATGTCAAGCAGGTAAGGATGTGTGTGAGCCGTGCTCTGTAGTCCTGCTGCAGACGCTGCACACCGAGCTTCAGGACCAAAAGTCTCCCGCTCCGATCAGACCAGATGAAGAAGTCAACTTAAATAACAAAGGAGTTTTAATCAAAGTTGTGCAAATAGCTGTGAGATTGTTTTTCATTTCCTGTCTTGGTTTTCAGGGAATTTTGATACCTTTTAGAATTGTTGATTTAGGGTTAGAAATGAACATTTGTACCAAGCTCTCCTTTATTAACCTAAACAGCAAAAACCTGATCATGACCAGAAAATAGTGAAGGAATTTTATTTAAATAACAAGTTCAATTAAACTTTTATCCACTCAAATAATGTTTTATTTCCCACAGATGTTGTTGCGTTGTTTTAATTTGACTAGCATGTAAATTATTCTCTGACTCCATTGGCGTGCACATTCATATTCATAGTTTTCTTTAGACTTTTTTTTTATTAACAAGCTTTACAGTCAGTTGGTTTATAATCTTTTTTTTTTTTTTATAAATGTAGGTGACTTTAGAGCAGAAGTCTGATGTAGTTTTGAGCATTTTTGGCACAGTGTGATCAACTTTATCTCCTTAAAGGAGAATCCTCCTTTTGCTCAGGGGTTTTCTGGGGGTGCGTTCACAAGCATTAGAGCTGCATGTAGAAGCCACAAATATTAAAGATGGCTGGGAGGCTTTTGGTCTGAGGTAAGGTGGCAGTAGCAGCAGGGAGGAGCACGGCTTGTTGATGTGCTTCAGTTTAATCACAGTGTGTTTTTGTGTTTTTCTCCTTTTGTTTGTTTTAATGTCTGGTGGATTGTGCGTGTCCCGGGGTGTTTGTGTGCTGTTCGTGGTGACTCCTGGCTCGTCACAGACAGATAACCACAGAGGAAGGAGAACAGAGAGCAAAAGAGATGAATGTTCTGTTTGTTGAGACCAGTGCAAAGACAGGCTACAATGTCAAACAGGTAGAGCGTGTGCAAATTTGTGAGTGTGTTCGTAGAATTCCTGCCTTGATTTGATTGGCCTCTCCTGCACACTCCCACGCGTGCACAAAGATGTGCTTTAAACCTCTGCTTCTGTGAGATGCATGAGATTAGTTTTTCAAACTCTCTCCCACCTGAACGTGATTTGTTTGGGCCAACTTTAAATTACCGTTGTTCTGACGGGTCAGAGTTTGCAAACCCAAGCCCAGCACTCTGCTGATTACCACGGTAACTGTGCGTGTGTTGCTAGGAAATCTGCATGTGGTTTCATTTGATGCATTTCTTTGGGAGGATTAGCATGTTTCTGTAGCCCAACAAGGATCCATCAGTCATTTAAAATATTTTTTCCCGCTGAGTAGCTCAACCTCGTTTTCCCAAGGCTCTCATACAAAGCATGTCTCCAACGCCAGCTGTTTTTCTAGTTGTCGACTTTGGACAAAGCTCTGATGAGATGTCTTGTGTGCAAGCTTTATTTGAACGTATGCTTTATCATGAACAGGGCTCACACACAGCACACAAGCATGTTTTATTGTTTTTTTAATCATATTTTTTTTTTAATATTTCTGACAGAATTATTTTTTTTTTTTACCTGCAGCTGTTTCGCCGTGTGGCAGCTGCCCTTCCTGGGATGGACACCACACAGGACAAGAGCAGAGAGGACAGTATCCTTTTGCATATCTTTGTCTGACATGATGGGGAGGTCATGTCATATCAAATCATTCTAATATTTTCTGCCATGGGGAAAGTCTAACGTAGCATTATGACATCTGCTTTAGTCATTTAACCCTCATAACACTTTAGATCTGTTCACCCAAAAGCACATGTGATCCAGCTGAGGAATTTTTATTTAGTCAACTGTATTATTTCCTGCTATTTCAGCTGTTAACATTGCAGCCTCCATGCGTTAAAACATCCAATTTGTGCAAATCAACATTTGAAACTGGAGCTATTTCAGTTGTTGAAGTAATTGTACCAACCCTGCTTATGGGTCACCTCAGAGATGGCTTGCCGATGTGAATATTTATTTATTTGTCCATTTATTTTTTTTAACGAGAACAAGAGATTAAATAATTACAAAAAGCAAATGAGGACCATCAGAATTGGCTGAGCTCTAAATCTACTGCAACTTTTGAGTTTTACTATTTAATATTAAACTATTCAAGAAGATGTTTCCAGCCAGTGAACGGGGACATTACAGCATGGAAAGCAACAGAGTTGCAAAAGTGCAACAAAAAAAACCGTTGCGCATGTGGTTCTCAAAAATGTTGACAAGGTTGGCAGATCTGCCAATGGACGTGTGTGACTTCTGTGACTCTGACACCTAGTGGTTTCATTAAGGTTCAGTTTTGATGTTTGATTTACGTTATTGTCTTTAACTCTCAACTCTCAGTGATCGACATCAAGTTGGAGAAACCGCTCGAGCAGTCCGCCAGCGAAGGAGGCTGTTCCTGCTAATGGACTCATCTTAGTTTGGGGCTTTTTCTGAGACCCGGTCCGTTTCTCTGTATATACCCTCCACTACACCTGCCTCAGTTCCCCAGCCTAACAACACTACAGCCGTCTCATCGGGATGCTCTGAAAGCCACATATCACTACAATTTGACATTTGCACTGTAACAAAACCATACTCACACCTGCCACCTCTGTTCACCTCAGGTGAAGATAGTTGCTCTGTGTTATTTGGTCTTGAAAATCTTTGCCTCCTTTTTTACCCAAGCAGTTAAATACTAAAAATTTCTGCATTGTGCTTTTTTCTTTTATTATGGCAAAAAACACAAATATTCCTTTAAGTTTAATTAGCAGAGTGGGTGTTATAGAATTTGTCAACTAACATCATTTTAACTAATTCCAGTTGAAACAGACTGACAAGAATTATTTTATTTTAACTTCTGAAATAAATAAAAATAATAATAATCTGAGGCTCATTTAAGTTAATCAACATGTTCCGAATAGAGACGTACAGCAGTACTGAGATGCTTTTTATTAAAATGGGCTAGTGGACACTGAATCTACTACACACCTGAGTGTGTGGCCATACTACAAACTGTCCTGCACATCCTCTGAAATGTTTCTTTAAAACTAGTTTTTGTTGCTTTTTACACCTTTTTTATTTAGTTTTCTGTTCTTAATTGGAGCATTGTGCTGATATTTCCCCCTAAAGAGTACAGCTACAGTACCAGACTACAGCTTCTTTTTTTTTACTGCTGGTGTCTAAGGATCATCTCTTCTAACCCGCCATGAACATCACTGATGAGAAGTAAACCCGCAGAGGGCTTCCTTGTCTTTACTTTTCAAACCATTTATGAAAACAAACTTTCTGAGCTTTGTTTTATTCTGCTTGTTTTTACTTGTTGATCTTTTGTCAGTGATAAGTCAGCACACATATTTAATCCACAATGACTTGAAGTATTTATTTCTATTGAATTCATGCATCTTTTTTATGGCTGTTAATATTGCCTCTTCATGGTAATGATTTCCAAATCTACTAAGATATGCATTCACCTTCTGGACACCTTTTACGTCGTCGGTGAGGGTCTGCCGTTTGTCACTTTGAAGTGGGAGTTCGATCACGTTGATGGTATTGTGCAATTTTTCTGTGTGAACTTATGGAGGAGAGTCCAATACGTATAGCATAGTAGTCCTAACGTTTCTGTCTGGAATGGTTTTAATTGAAAGAATAAATAGATATACTCTTGTTTCCACTGCTGGAGTTGATCTGTCATGTGAAAAGGTGTTGCAACAGATTGTGTGTGAATTATGAGAAACATTCATAAACCTTTTCAATAATTAAATGTGTTTTTGAACTTTTTGGGGGGGGGGGACTTTTCAAAGCCGGTCAGTTTAATAATATTGTGATTAATTTAGCTAATAAATAGAAATAATTTGTCAAAGCTAAGCTATATGTATGATAACCTAAATAGGCTTGTGAGTTATGTTTACGACCAGAACACTTTTTTTTATTCTCGCGAGAGTTTCCCGAGATGTCACCATAGAAACTCAAACGCGCTGAACCCTAAACCGGTTAACACAGCTAGCTGGCATTTATACTCACAATGATTAACGGCTATTACGATACGCTTGAAATAAACAGAAACGCAACAGATGCAGAAATCAAACAAGCGTAAGTTTGACTATAAAATGTTTTATTTTTGCGGGTTTGTTACTTTGTTCATCATGTTTAATATTAATCTTCAGATATCGACGTCTCGCGCCGAAGTTTCATCCCAGCAGGAACAGCCAACCCGGAAGTGTTGAGAGATTCGCCCAGCTGGGTGAAGCCTACGATGTTCTTAGCGACGGTAGTGTGACTCGGGTTGTTTGTTTTTGTAACAAAATGCTGAAAATAACTAACGAACACGTCTTATGTAGACTATAGTAACAAGCTCGTGGGAAATGCGTAACATGCTCTACACAGATCCAATATTTATTTCAATCAGGATAAATCAAGAATATTTTCATAATATTTACACAACATACAACAATATCCCGCTTTGTCTTTGTGAAAGCTCGAAAGAAGGCGATTTATGATCATTTTGGTGAAGAGGGTCTAAAAGACGGTGCCCCGGCTGAGTTTTGCACAGATGGAGCTTGGACTCCAAAATATGCCTACCACGGGAATCCAGAACAAACATTCAGACAGTTTTTTGGAGGAGATAACCCATTTGCAGGTGAGAAAAAATACTAACCACTGTGCCTTTTCTAACCCAGACTTGCATTTATAAAGTTTTTCTTTTTCTTTTAGATTTTCTTACCATCGAATCGCCGCTTCAGCTCTGTGGCTTGCATCCAGAAGTGGTGAAAGTTCAAGATTCTCCGATAGAGAGAGATATTTTCTTGTCACTAGATGATTTGTACCTCGGATGCATAAAAAAGATCCAGCTCTCCCGCATGGTAGAAGCTACTTTATTTATCAGAGACCATGATTTTAATCTGCCTGAAGTCCATGTGGTTAAATCACTAATACATCCTAGACTGAGTACTTATCTTGTCCATTGATGTGAAGCGGTTAAGACTAAAATACTCAACATGTCACAAAGCAAATAAAACTTCACATAACAAATGGAATCATACAAAATACAATTTCCGGTGAGTTTTTTGCTGCTGTTTTCTGAAATTTAGATCTTTATGTTTTGTTCTGTTGATGTATTTGGGGCCTCAGACCAGCCACAGATTACTTGGGCATGGAACTAGGCAACACAATCCCACAAATAACAAAAAAAAATCTATTTATTATGTTGAATTTGTAAACATTACACACTGCATTCCAGGTTATAAATGAAGATGGACAATCTTCTGAAATCCAGGAAAAGATTCTGACTATAGAAGTGAAACGTGGATGGAAAGAAGGCACAAGAATCATATTCCCCAAAGAAGGAGATCAGGTGGGAAAAAAGTGAAAAATTAACATTTTTTTAAATGATTGAAAATTAGCTGTGAAATGAATGCCAGAAAATTTAAATGGATGTTTCTAATTTCAGTTAACCTTCCTGTTTTCACCCTTGATAAATACATTTTTATTTTGTTTTTGTCATTTGCTGTTTTTCATATTGTTTTTTCCATATTAAAAACCAACGACTATTTCAGCATTTTAACAAAAATAAATTTGCTCTATTCCTTCCCATTAATAATAAATCATTTTCACTTGTTGGCTTCAGCAGAACATCGCTGACTCATGTCAGAACATCCAGATGCTTTTAGCTTCATTAGATCTAATGACATTAAACGCCAACTCTGTATTTAATCTGTGTAACCAGGTAACTGGTCATCCTGGTGATATGTGGGTGGTGTTTTAGTATTTCTCACGGTAGGAATGGCCCTTGAATGTGTCTCAGCTCAATCTCAGCCACTCCTTGATGGGCTGATTATAAAAAGGTGTGCAGACCAGGGGGTCTGTTAGGGAGGTGGTTGTCATGCTGCTGTGAGATTTTGGCTGGTTTGAAGGGTTTTGCTTTAGTCACAGGTAGGTGGAGGGTGGCTACTAGAGTCTCTCTGTGGGCCTTGTTTTCTGATTGTTAGCTTGTCATTGCTGCTCAATTGAGTTCATTTTTATCTACGTTCAGGTACAAGCTGTTTTTAAGAAGTCCGAACAGAAATAAATAAAGGCCCTGCTTTTCTCTACCTCTGCCTTGGTTCCTTATTATAACCAGACCCGCCTGGGGTTCTGGTTGTGGGTGTCTAAGCCTTACGCTCGGTCACATCTGTATTCTAATTGTGTTTTTACCATCAGGGACTTAACCGTGTTCCGGCAGACATCGTGTTCACCGTGAGACAAAAGAGTCATCCTCTTTTTGTACGACGAAACAATGACCTTATCTACAAAACCCAGATCTCTCTGATGATGGTGAGTCATGGTGATGTTTTATAATTGATTTTTATTACATAAAGGCAATAAACACTGGAGCTGGAAGGCGATTTCCTTTCCAACAGGCTCTAACCGGCTTTTCTGTGAATGTGCCGACACTAGATGGCAGGCTGCTCAACATTCCCATCAATGACATTGTACAGTAAGTTGGGAATTCCAAGCTCCAGTCATTTACTAAAAAAGTACTCTATTAATTAAACATGTTGATTACATCAGAAGCTGGACACTCGAGAGATTTGGAGGACAATTTTTGAACAGTTTTTATTTTTTTTGCATTGTTTACCCTAACTTTTCACTTTCTTTGGTGTCACAACATTCCAGCCCTACATATGAGAAAGTGGTGGCTGGAGAAGGAATGCCGTTACCCCAGGATCCGTCGCAGAGAGGAAACCTCGTCCTTACTTTTGACACTCAGTTTCCAAAGATGCTCTCTGCTGAAAGAAGACATCTGATCCAAAAAGTTCTTGGCACCACACATGACTAAAGTTTTATTTACATCTAAAAAAGTGACAACATTTGTTAAATGAAGACTAAATATAAAGAGAATGCTGACAAGGCAGTTGTGCTGTTGTTGATTATAATGCAGCGGTGTGGTTGTGACTTGCAGCCATGACGGCTCGTTTCAGCTGCTCATAAGTTACGAACATCACCACGTTCCAGGAGCCCAGCCGAAAGAAAGATGGCATGAAGCTAAAAGACAAAACAGAGCAGATGTAGATTTAGTTGTGCAAACGGCCAAAGACTCGTCTGAATTATCTCTCTCAAAGATTTTAACATTCTTCTGTTATTGCGCTACCCCTTATAAAAGGCCAGTGGGCCTTCTTTTGCCATCATGGCGGCAGCACAGTTGAGGACGCTGCTGTACTGTTTAGGAGCCGAGTTCATAAATCTTGTCTTGACCACGTCAACGGGAGAGGCAACCATGGTTGTACACAAACCAGCGCCGAAGGCTGACACAAAGTGGCAAGGGAGGTTGTCTGTGGGGTACAGGCTGAAGGTTACGTCCAGGACTCAAACACGTCTGTGTCGTGTTGGGTCTACGACTTACCTGTGAGAGGCGTCGACTTGAGAAGTAGATCCTTAATGAAGTCGTACGTGACCAGTTCTGTGCAGTTAACGATGGCATTGCGGGCGATGTTCGGCATTGTACCTGGGTGGAAGAGGTGTATGATTGCAAAAAAACTATTTTCATGGATGAAGAAAAGAGACTTCAGGTTTTTGGAGTAATTCACCTTTCCACAGACCAGGAATGCCCTCCTCCCTACCAATGGTTCTGTAAGCATCAATAGTGCCATGGTAGTGTCTAGCATGCATGCCAGACATGGCCTGTGCTTGAAATCGGACTTTCACTACATCTGTGGGCTGAGCAAACACAACAGCCATGGCGCCTGTGGTGCATCCTGCAAGCAGCCGACTGCCAGTGCCAACATCTGAGCGTCAAAGAGAGAGAGATGCCGAATTTAATGCAAAGTTCCACAAATGGATTTTTTTTATAGCATCGACTTACGATCACAGCCTTTAGTGTAGAACTGTTTGACAGAGTCATAGAGACCTATTCGGACAGAAGCAAAGCTCATCTGCCTCTGGAGTCCTGCCACCAGTCCGCTGTAAAGACTCAGGAGTCCCTCTGTTCTCACCATGGTGGTGATGGTGCCGAAAACGCCACGATACTTCACTGCAGCCACTTTCCCCAATGCTGATGGCGCGCTGGCCTCTCCTTGGATCTTTGTAACATATAAAAGAAACTCGGTTTAAAAAAAAAACAATTGGATCATTGATGAGTCACAAAAATGTTCTTCATAAGAGGAGGTGAAGCTATGCTTTTATTTACCTGCAGTCGTACTTTGGCAGTGTCCAGTGGAAAGGTGAGCAGGTCAGCAAAGCAGGCTGCAGCTCCAGCTCCTACAAACTTTACTGCTGCTGATGGAGGCACGTCTGCAGGTCCAAATCCAACCATTTCCAAACTTCTTTTGTTCAACAACAAACTTCCAGATATGGATTTTTTATATGGACAGGACTAGAAGTTCCTCCAAAACCTGAAATAAAGACCCAAACCATGACGTGCAAAGATTGTTGTATTTTGTGTGAAAATGTATTTTTATAAAGTTGACTCACGATAAATTAGTAGACTTATTTTGTTTATCTAAATGATATTTTTTACTCGTTGCTTTTAACTTCTGCTTTAATGGCAGCTTTAAGAAACACACATTCACACAAATAGAAAATGCAATTCTTACCTAAATAGATTTACAACTGGAACAAAGATAAGGATTCTCTGAAGGTGTCCCTTTGGCTGAACTTTGTCCCAGCTATAAACTTGGTTCCTTGCTTTTCCATAGAAGATCTTCCAGATGCGGTGAGCCCTAAAATCATACTCCAAATCCTGGAAAACAAATACAAACCTCCAAAAATCTGTTTTGTGAAAAGAAAAATAGTTAAGGGAAAAAGTCTAGAAAGAGAAATACTTCAAATAATCCAGTATTACTGTAATTTGATTTGTTAGGATTAAAAACTGTTTGGAGGGGAAAATATCTGAACCGGTCCCTGAATCTGGGGGTGAATGGAGAGAGGGCAGGAGGAAGAGAGCTGCCTCTTTAAATATGGCTGTGATGCTGTTGCATAACAGGATGTTGCTGTGGAGTCTCATCCCGACTGCGCTGCTGGTCAAACAGGAAGATATCTACTGAAATAAAAGCTGTAAAAGTGTTAATTATCTAATACGGGAATGCAGAGTTTGGAAAAATCTTTTCTTTTTCTGACTTAAGTAAGAAAATTAGAATCTAAACACAAAACTATTTTTCTTCGTCTTGTGAAAATAAACTAAAACTGTAATTTTTCACCTTAAAGTTCTTTTATTAAGTCGGTCGTTTGTTATGAGCATCCATTGTGCATTATTAGACAAAAGCTGAGTCATGCTGAACATGCAAAGCGTCCACTGAACAACAAATTAGAGCCATGTGTTCAGTAATCACCTCACCAGTCAGAACAGGTTTGGTGCTCAGGGTTCCTGCTTTCGTTAATCAGGCTCTTCGCTGCATTAACACAATAATGCTGGGATGTTCTGTTTTATATTTCTAATCATTATTTTTGTAAATTAACTTTTTAAAGCCTAACAGTGCTGTCTGCATTCAGCTGTGTTTGTCCTCAGCGAGCTTCTGCAGTTCAACAGGAGTTTGGTAAATATACAGTACAAAGAGCAGGGATGAGATATCGAAAAGTTTTAAAGTTTGATGTTACACTTATATTACATATTATAATTCTGTCATCAGAAACTTTAAATCAATATTAACTATTGTGTGTAAGTGTGCTTCTGAAAACTGTAAAAATGAATAGTTTACCCATTGTAGAAAAATAAGAGTTTGGACTGATGTGCTAACAGCTAGTGCAAATACAAACTGCCACCTTCTTCAAACAGCTCAAGCCACAAAAACTTCATAGAGGCTCATTTAAGTAGAATTTTATAAACCTTCACATTGCTATCAGTGTCATGATGTTTGGTTGTTGACATGATAATCTCATACGAGCATAAATATCAGTAAAATAGAGCACCCAAGGGTCAGGTCGGGCAGAAATCTATTATTGTTTCTGCTGAAAGACTAAATAGTAAATTTATAATAACTTTGCATAAACTGGCGTAACATTTAGGGGACTGATGCTGTGTTGAGACAGCAGCTGTAAACTTGGATGTGGACCCACCCGATCATCCAAATGACTCCGAGTTTTATGACTCTGCTTGTGGGACTGCAACATAAAGTGGAAACTTAACCATTTTTTTTTGGTTATAGGGTATTTTTAAAATAAAAACAGACATTTAAAGGTCGAATATGGAAGATTTTAATAAAAAGCTATATTTATAAAAAGTATTACCTCTACAGAGTGTTTAGAGGTGTACAGAATTAATGTACAGTTTCTCCTATAAAAGCTGTATTTAAAAAATAATAATCAAAATTTTAGTTTGACTGTCATGACACTGGGTTTATGTTTACATCTACCAGCCAATAGGGGGCACTGTTGTGTAAAAAGTCAGCTTGAACTGTGTAAAATGGTAGACTCGTCAAGCAGCTGATTCTGAGCTCAGAAGATGTTCTAACAGTAAATACGGTTGAGTAGAAATCAGCCCTTACCCTGTATGATTCGTCACTGGACATGGTGCTGGCTGCTGGTCACTTCACGTGTCAGTAGTGAACCAACACCCCCACGGCTGGTAAAGGTGCTCTGTTGTTGCACTACCACCTCTTAACACCAGATGGTGCAACAGAGTCTGTGTTCCATATTCAACCTTTAAAGGCCCCCATAGGTCCCTAGGTCACCTGCCTGAGCTTCATCAGGCAGGTTATTGTCTTGCACCCATAGGTGCAGCCACCCGGTTTACAAACTGTTTTATTCCTACTGCCATAAGATTTCTAAATTATGAGGGTGGCTAAGCTTGTCTGATCTTCTACAGTATTGTGTGTTATATGTCTCTATGTGTCTAAGTGTGTGTTTTAACGGAACCACACTTTGTTCAAACCACGTACTGGAAAAAAAATCCCACCTGTGCTGTGTGATCATTAAAGTAATCTGAATCTGAATTTAATCAATGGCTGCACACAGCCAGACTAATGGGACAGAAATGCGTAACACCCTTTATTAACTGTTTTTATTTTTATTAATCTGTTTTTAGCTTATTTCTTGTCATTATCATTTCATTCTTGAGCACTAATACACTGTTTAAGGTCACTTCAATTCCTAATTATTTCACCACTTGTAATCAGTTCCTGCTACACCTTCTTGAAACATTATCATCAGATTTTTACAAACGTTCATTCATCCATCCATTTTTGGCCGCTTATCTGCAGTCGGGATGTGGGGCCAGCAGCCTATGAAGGGAGGCCCAGACTTTCATCTCCCCAGCCACTAGGGCCAGTTCGTCTGGGGGAATCCCAAGGCATTCCCTGACCAATTGTGAGACATAGTCTCTCCAGCGTGTCCTGGGTCTTCCTCCAGGCCTTCTCCCGGTTGGACGTGCCCGGAAAACCTCATCAGTGAAGTGTCCAGGAGGCATCTTTACCAGATGCCGGAGCCACCTTAACTGACTCCTCTCGATGTGGAGGAGCAGCGGGTCTACTCCGAGCCCCTCCCAGATGACCGAGCTTCTCACCCTTTCTCTAAGGGAAAACCCAGCCACCCTGCGGAGAAAACTCATTTTGTATCCGCAATCTCATTCTTTCAGTCACTTCCCAAAGCTCATGGCCATAGGTGAGGGTTGGAAAGTAGATCGACCGGTAAATCGAGAGCTTTGCCTTCCAGCTCAGCTCCCTCTTCACCACGACAGATCGGTACAACGCCCGCATCACTGCAGCTGCACCACCAATCTGCCTGTCGATATCAAGCTACATTTTTCCCTCAAGCATGAACAAGACCCCGAGATATTTAAACTCCTCCACCGGAGGCAGGACCTCATCCCTGGAGCTGATTTTTTTCCCAGCTGCTTCACACTCGGTCCCCGCCTTTGGCTACCACAATGCACCCAACCTCTTTGGCCCCTCCCACAAGTGGTGAGCCCATGGGATGGGGGACCCACGTTTCCTCTTTAGGCTGTGCCCGGCCAGGCTCCATGGGTAAAAGCCCAGCCGCAGGCGCTCGCCGATGTGCCCCACCTCCAGGCCTAGCTCCAGAGGCGAGCCCCGGTGACCCATGTTCAGGCAAGGTAACATGGTTTCCAATTGAATTGTTCATCATGAGGGTTCTTCAGGCTGCACTTTATCTGACCCTTCACCTAGGACCTGTTTGTCATGTGTGACCCACCAGAGGCATAAAGCCTCAGACAACTTAGCTCCTAGCATCATTGGGACACTCGACCCCTCCACAATGGTAAGGTGGCAGCCCAGGGAAGTTTTTATACTTTATTTTATAAAATGTTACAAATTCAGAAATGTCCCTGCTTGACGAATTTGCCAGAAATTAAATTGTAAATGGCCTGTATTTGATGTAGCACCTTCTAGAGTCCTGTAACCGCCCAAGGCACTTTACAACACAACCAGTCATTCACCCAAGCACACACACATTCACCTCTTGCAGGACTTGAATGCACCTGAGCTGCTACATTTTGCTGCAGCTGGTGATATTTAATTGCAAATCCCTGCAAAGTCCTTGTGCAAAAGAGTAATGCAACATTTCACACCAACGGAAAATTGAATAAAATGTCGACACATTAATCATTGACTTTGTTGCAATTGAAGCTGTTTTTAAAAGGCAGAAACACTTTTTTGTTATATCTCCTCAGGACAGAGGCTGTTCAGGAATATGGGTGAGATAAAAATTATGACTTTTACACAAAAGCATACATCGGAATGTTTAGCTTTTAAAAATATTTTACAAATAAAATAGCAAGAGACAAATTTAAAAAGAGACTATTTATTTATTTTATTGTGTGCAAAGTCTTCATGACCCACTGACCAGCAACAAGTCATATTATATACAATAAGTGCTTACTATTACATTCAACATTACATTTCTTACTATGCACCAGAATCGATGTAAACAATCCACTGTGCAAACTAAAAGAAGTGACGTGTAGCAGAAATGATCATGGAACAATGCCCTGAATGAAAACTTGAATAGCGCCAGCGAACCATTCATGTGATCCTTTACTTTATCTTTGTAAACATCAAAGTTTATCATCAAGCAGCCAGTTGATCTGAACACATTATGGAGACGCTGTAAATATGACAGTCCCAAAAATATCTGAATCATCCTGGTGTTCCAGCGATGTCCTGGTTCTTCCTGCCCCGTGTTTGTATGCACAACTCATGGAGTCCATCCAAATCAGTGGGCCTTACAGCCATGTAGTGTCCACTTTTGGTCTTCCACAAATGTCTCAGAAACAATGTTCACCACTGCAGGTCAGACTTATCCATCTCTACCATCTTTCATGTCTCAACGATCAAAATGGCGACTCCCAGTACTTCTGCGCTCCTGTCATCCCCCTTTTGATTTGTTCGTAAGTCACAAACATCACAATGTTCCAGGACCCCAGTCGCAGGAAAGAAGGCATGAACCTGAAGGATGAAAAGAGAAAGTAAAGAATTGCTTTCAGGAAGAGCTTTGGTATGTTGCTGTCATGTTCATGTGTGTGTGTGTGTGGGTGGGTGTGTGTGTTTACCCTTTATAGAAGGCGGAGGGTCCTTCGTTTTTCAGCATCATGAGTGCACAGTTGACGGCGCTGCTGTACTGGCCATTTCCTGAGTTCATGAACCGTGTTTTCACCACATCTACTGGTGACGCCACCACTGTTGTGCAGAAGCCAGCGCCAAAAGCAGCCGTGAAGTGGCATGGCAGGGTGTCTGAGAACAGAAACAGAGTCTCTTCCAGAAACAGGAACTTAGATGTTGAGATTTTGCAGGCATTTGTTGGTTTTTCTTCACACCTGTCATCAGGTCGTACTTCAGGATGAGCTCTTTGATTATGTCATAGGTGACCAGTTCTGAACAGTTCACAATGGCATTGCGGGTGATGTTCGGCATGCATCCTGAAAGAAAAGGAGTTGATGACTTTCAAAATAAATGATAAAATTAAAACTGGAGTCTAAAACCAACCGTACCTCTCCAAAGTCCCTGCACTCCCTCATCTCTTGCAATGGTCTTGTAGGCATCCAAGGTGCTGTTGTATCTTCTCTCACCGTCGGACAGTCGGACCTGGGCTTGGAAACGCACCTTCACCACATCGGTTGGTTGTGCAAAAGCCACAGCCATGGCTCCAGTGGTGCAGCCCGCCATGAGTCGAGCAACAATCCCAGCATCTGCGCAGCATGGACATCAGTGTCAGTGAGCAGATAAGGTCAGAACACATTCTCATTCATGAAACACACCGAACACTCACTCTCAGTGCCTCGAGTGTAGAATTGCTTCATGGAGTCATAAAGGCCGATGCGAACGGAGGCGAAGCTCATCTGCCTCTGGAGTCCAGCAACCAGTCCGTTGTAAAGACTCCTGGCTCCTTCTGTGCGCACCATGGTGTTGATGGTGCCAAACACACCACGGTACCTCGCTACACTGGATCCCTCAAGCTTCTGACACTCTCCCTGGATCTGCAGGGGGCCATCATCAGCAACACATTAAAAAGTCTGACAAAAAAAGAAAAACATCTAAAGTCAAGTTCCTCTGAAGACCACGCATCTGACCTGCAGTCTGACTTTGGCGGTATCCAGGGGAAAGGTGATGAGGTCAGCAATGCAAGCTGCCAGACCAGCTCCAAAGACCTTAATCCCCGCAGAGGGCATAGCATCACTTCGTTTCACCGCAACCATTTTCATGTCTGGAATTATCAAACAAATAAAAAGATTGGCTCTTAGAGAGAAGTACAAAAAAAAAATAAAGAAATGCATCAATATGTTGATCCCACCTGTGGGAAAGGGTGAAAGCAAGTATCAGGTTTTCTCAAGAAGTAGGTTGGTCTTTGGACGGGGTTCTGTCGTGGAAATGCCTTTGGCCATAAACTTTATTAGAAGCAAGCCTGTTAGCATAACACCGCTCTGAAAAAGCAGGTAAACGTTCACTGAGTTGTGTTTGAGATCACAACCTGAGATGTGCATTAGATACATTTAAAATGAATATATTTTTAATTGCTCAGTATAGCAATGTTTTTATTGCTAAAATAAGCAGGCCTACCTTGATAATTGTCCCAAAAAGTTATAATCCAGTAAGAACAAGACGATAAAGAGTCCTTTGTGTACTGTGTGCTAAATGTTCCACTGTGGAACATGCATCTGAATTTATAGGCACCTTTAGCACATGGCCCGATGGCCACCATCATGCTGTACCCTCCTGTTTATTTTTAAATATCATGTGTACCAGTCTGTGACACAGCTGGATATTTGAGCACTTGTTGATCCGCTCTTAGTTGTGTCATGATTCAGTCCTGGCAAGGGCAAATGCTTGGAAGTATTTAGAATATTTTCAGGTCATTTTGTTCTAACATTCTTGTAAGTTTACTCAGCGACAACACAATGTTTACACACGATTTGTTTTAAATCTAGAGTTTCGCGTGCACAGAAACTTTCCACCACCCTTGCCAACATACCGGCTCACATTACAGGACTCACGTCACAGAATGAACCTACTTTTCCATTGGTGGAAATCTACGGCCAAACAAACTCAGAGGTGTGTCTGACTTCTCTAGAAGCTTTTAAGGGGACATTAGCATTACAGAATCGTTTCATTATGTCTGTACCCAACCTCAGATTTCAAGACTGTCAGGGGGTTCTGAGTGTTCTCTCGTTCCTCCTCCCTGGAGCCAAAGTTTTGAAACTTTGCCGGTTTAAGGAACAGCCCTTCCTCCAGACCAATCAGTGAAACGAACCAGGGTGGGAGGGTGGATGAAGCATCTGACTACAATCACAGGCAAATCAGCAGCAAAAGAAACAGGATGCTGACTGGAAAGTGTCAGAGAGGGCACATTGACAGAAAAGTGTGTGTGTTATTTTTCACACACACACGGGGTCATGACCCCAACAAGTTCATTCCATTTCATACATAAACCTCCCATTTGTTTTCCAATTCCCAAATGCAAGAGTTGAACTGTGTTGCTTTTGCTTAAATTTGTGTTAATTTGTTTGTTAAATTACTTAACGAACCACCTGACAGATTCAGATGAAACTCTTGTTAGACGTTCATACCGATCCACTCATGCTGAATCAAGATGACCACCACAGATAACCGACCTTAAAAAACACAAAAACGGCCGTTGTTCAGTCAGACATTGAGCTAATGATTAGCGTGAGGCCTTATCCCTATCAAATACAGGTAGTACTAATTTAACAAAGTCAAATAACTCTACAGTTTCATACGGGCCCACGGTTTTGAGTGTCAGCACTGACAACATGCTCATTTGTATACAGAACAATAAAAAAACATATCATCCCCAGAAGGAGTTACTTGAATCCTTGATTGTGTTAACCAACACATTCTCACTCCCAGCGCGTCAAAAACAAACGCTTGGTCAGCCCCCTTCCACGTCAGACCCCAGAGAGTCGGTAAGAACAAAAACTCTAGGTGCAGACCGATCTTGCAGGATTTATGCACACTGTTTTTCTCAAGATCTCACCAAAATGGCTCCATCATCTTAGTTTAAAACTCTGGTATCACAGGTGAAGATTGATGAGCATCCCGCCACAGAATGCTAGGTTTTACATGATGTGAAAAGTCTTCGGCCAAACATCTCAAAAGAGATGAACTTCTTAAAATGAACCACATCCTTCACAGATTTTCTGTATTTCATATGTAAACATCATTTGACATCTGAAGTGTCCAATAAGAATAATTTGTGCAATAAGTGATAAACAGATCTGATTGCATACATGTGGTTAGGAACAAATAAACTGGACGGTGAACATTGTTCCAGTTTACCGAGCACCACCGTGAAAATGTCCTAAAGGAGGAGACACCATCTGCTCTCCTCGCTCCATGCTGAAAGCACTTTCTTGAGAACATCGTGTGAGTAACCTTTGAACACACTGACTGACTGGTAAACACCTCAATGGTCCGGCTTCAACCAGCTCTCGGTGACACCCCACACACACACCCTGCAGCACCCGGAAACCAGACTAAACTATCAGACTCCCGTCATCGCTCTGCTCCTCTGCACTATGAATACCAAGAACCATGATTCAGTGCTGTGAAACAGATAATCCCCATTAGGCTAAAAATAAAGACCATAACACTTCTGCTTATGGAGTCACTGCGTCAGTAAAAGGTCATTGGGACACAGTGTTTCGGAGGACCTGTCTGTTTTAAGTGTGGACCCATTTGCCTTTGAACTAGTCCTAATTTAGCAAAACTAAAGTAGAATATCTCTGTTTGTCAGTTTCACTCTGTATGTGTGTTTTCATCTCATCCACTAATATCTAAAACTCTCTTTACACAAGATTTCTGTGTAATTTAAGCCTCATTATACATTTTGGAAGCCATACTGATCGACTATTTCACCACATAAGTGAAAAGATGTTTCCACCGAGACTCCAGATGGCTCCACATACCAGGAGTGACTCAGCGGCAGTCTGCTGCTTAGCAACGGCTCGCCGTGTTGTTCGTCTCTGGAGGAAGCAAGAGGATTAACTCCCAATATTTAACTAAAATAAAATTATAAAAGTATTTTGTCACGTGCATCAAGGTAAAACAAAATCTGAGTGAAAGCTGGTCGGATCTGATTGTTTCATAATAATGAAGGTTTAATGACACAAATGAAATGAGAGGTCATTGTTATAATTCAGTTTAAAATGGAAAAAGCTTATCGGATGAGTTTAATTAGAATGTCTTCTAAGTTCAAAATTAAGTGCAGTTCTGATTGATTTCATAAGGATTACCAGGTCCTGGGTGGATTCACCAGCTTGTTATAGATGTTGAACTAATTCAACCATCAGAAAACAGCAATCTGAAGAAAAAAGGCTTTTCTGTAAAAAATATGAGGCATTTTTGGCCTGAAGCATGTTCAGTCAACAAACCAATCAGCTTTGTTTGTACAGCTCAATTAAAAACAACCCAAGTGCTAAACAACATAAAAAATACACAATAGGACAAGTAAAATGTTTCATAAAAACTGCATAAAGACAATAAAAGTAAATAAATAATAAGAGTAATACAAACAACAATAAAACAAGAACATATAAACACAAAGCTGTTGTGACCATCAACACATTTACAATTTGATATATTCATTAATTAATCTAATTAGGTGATAAACTGCAAGTTTGGGATGATCCAACACACACACACACACACACACACACACACACACACACACACACACACACACACACACACACACACACAAACACAAGGACAACTCTGTTAAACAATGCATTGGTTTAGTGCAGCAGTGTAGAACTTTGACAACTTGTGGACCTATTCTGCTGCTGGAGGATCTGGTACCCTGAAGTCTCCTCACCTCCCAGCTTTCTGTGCTTGATGTCCGTGTGTGCTGCTGCCACCGTGTGTCTGAAACAGACCAGTAAAGAAGGGTAAGTTAGTGTCACATTTAAGTAATCTACAGATTTTTGTCGTTAGAATCCAGCATCTGTTGTGTTGATCCTAAACTGATTGAGGGGTGAAATGCTTTTCAGTAAATCTGGTTGCTTTTGGTTCTTCAAACTCATCTGTAACCTGTAGCATCTTATTTACAACCACTATTATTATGCGATCTTCAAGCCCATGCCAGGCACCTTTTAATGATGAACAGATTAACTCTGTGATAAAGAGCCGGGTTCCCAGAATTGTTCCTTAATTTAATTGCAACCTTCATTCTCTAATAAAAAGGAAAGATCTCCAGACTTATGTTGGCGTCCAGCAGCCTCTGTCGTCCTGGCTGATAAATGTGTAGTTGGACATAACTGGAACCAGACAGAAGGTGAGACTGGCCTTCTCCTGTGTTAACATCTCCTCACCAGCTTCCTGATAAATACAGCACAGATTTAGAAATACTCCCATCTTTTTGTTTTAAAAGCTTTTCACAGAACATCTATTAAAACATCTGCTCTTGTTCTTAATCAGTGAACCACTTCTTTTAAATGCTCCATGTTTCAGATGACAGTTTGAAATAAAAAAAACACATGTAAGTAATAACATTAATAAACTGCAACACTCCACCCTTTTAAGACCAATTTTAGGCCTTTTTTGCTTTTCTGCCCATTACACATAATACAGTTATCAGACTGATCTCTGGAATAAAAATACAATCAAGCAGCATTTTTTTAAATTCTAATACTGACACTCCTCACCAGAGTTGTGAGGTGCTGATGTCTAACCCCAACAATCACCAGGCAAGAGGCAGGGGACACCCTGGACAGGTCTGCAGTCCATCACAGAGACACACAGAAGCAAACAAGTCACACACTCACTCACACGGGGAAAATTACCTGAAGAATATCCCTGCATGGATGAGAAGAACATGCTAACTCCATGCAGGAAGGCTGCAGCTGGAAGTCAAACGTGCTAACTTCTTGAAAAGGGGCAACAGTGCTACAAACTGCACCACCATGCAGCCCAATAAGTTTCTTATAAATAAATAAAATAAAATAAATATTTTATTTAGCACTATGAAACACACATATTATACTATTTTTTATGTTTAAACCCTCTAATACCCAAAGCTCATGACCATAGGTGAGGATTGGGACGTAGATCGACCGGTAAATCGAGAGCCTGGCTTTCTGGCTCAGCTCCTTCTTCCCCACGACCGAAAGAACGAGATCGCGGATACAAGCGGCCGAAATGAGTTTCCTCCGTAGGGTGGCCAGGCTCAGCCTTAGAGATAGGGTGAGGAGCTCGGACATTCGGGAGGGACTCGGAGTAGAACCGCTGCTCCTCCGGATCGAAAGGAGCCAGTTGAGGTGGTTTGGGCATCTGGTCAGGATGCCTCCTGGACGCCTCCCCGGGGAGGTGTTTCGGGCATGTCCTGCCGGCAGAAGGCCCCCGGGTCGACCCAGGACACGTTGGAGAGGTTACATCTCCAATCTGGTCCAGGAACGCCTTGGGGTCCTGCCGGAGGAGCTGGTGGACAAGGCCGGGGAGAGGACGGCCTGGAGCTCCCTAGTTGGGATGCTGCCCCCGCGACCCGGACCCGGATAAGCGGAGGAAGACGAGACGAGACGAGACCCTCTAATATTTTTCTTTATCATGTAAAATGTCTTAAGTATTTATTTTAATTAAATTCTGAGCTGGAAACAGACAAAGATGATGCCACCACAGGCTGTAAACCTGTCATATACTGCTTGGTCACTAGGGGGCAGTGATGTGTGACTTCTCCATATTTACCTTTAAGAGCTAGAAAAAGGCAAAGAAGACAACGCGACGCAGAAGACCGATAGCTGTTAGCATTATATTAACACAGTTATCTAATGTCTTACTAACGTATGTAAAACAGTCGGGGGGAAATCATATGCAGCGACAGAAAGAAGCGTTGATAATAAAGAGTCCCTGACAGAGACCGAGCCGTTCTGACAACATGGAGAAGCAGTTGCATTTGAACCTGCTAGCCTCCAGACCTCCTATGGCAGGTGGAATGCAGTCTAGCTCCAAAATGAAAATGGGGTGAGTAATCAACTTGTTGCGTTTGTTCCCACGTGTATCAGCTGTTTAACGTCATATTTATTTTCACCACCGTCACAACAGAGTGTAAAAATATCCCATTATTAGCTCCCTATCTGCTAGCATTATCCAGGCTAAGTAAGCTAGCTGCGGCTTAGAATTTAGTCCATCTTTGTTGAAATCACGAAACTTTTCGCTTGTTTGCATTTATATTAAACATCTGTTCCTGTCCGATAGTATTTGTTGTAACTTTCAGTGAATCTGGATGGAAAAAGATAACGGTAAGTTTAATGATAATGATTTTTGTTTATGTTTATGAATGGGTCATCAGCTGGCTGGTTTGTTCTTTAGTAAACACATTTGTGTTTATATTTATCCATACAGCATGACTCCACGGTGTTTTACATTTGGAAACTAGATATTACACCCTGCCTTTCCCAGGTTTTTGTGGAAGGAAAAAATCTAAAGCTAAACTTGCCGTTTATTTTATTTTATTTTATTTATTTATTTATTTATTTATTTGTAGTTTTCTAGGTTTGGGTGAAAAGTTTCAAGATGAAAATGCTTTAAAATTGGTGCCCTGTACGTCTGTTGAAAGGACTGGTGATATTTTACACTTAATTATAACATAAACCAGAGGTGTTTTCTTCGCTAAAATGGTCTCATTTGTGCTGTTAGAGTAAAGTAATGCCTAATTGCTTCTGTTTTATGTTTTCCACAGACCTGGGAGGAAGAGAGATTTCACTCCCTTATCCTGGAGTCAGTACTTTGAAACCATGGAAGATGTTGAGGTCGAAAATGAAAATGGCAAAGATATATCCTTGGCCTCTGTTTTAAGTTTGAATGACTAATAGTGACTCTTAATACAGTTGTGCAAAAAATCTTGAGCCATCTGACGTGTCTTTTGTTTGTCAAGCAGTGAGACTTTCTCATAAATACTTAAGTCATCTTTTGCAGCAGGCTTCCTGATGATCAGCAACATATTTGAACAGCTTTGTCACAATTTGTTAATCAAGCCCTTGAGCCTTTGCTTTATAAAGCCACCTTTTCTTAAATTGTCTTTGAGCCATTCATGGCTCAGCAAAGATAACAGAAAGTGATATTTATGCTATTAGCCAGAAAACAGACTCATCTATGCACAGTGTGAGGTGTGTCCTTAAAAATCAGAGGGAACTTGACAAGAATGGAGGTGGATGGATAAAAACAAACTGCCTACAGCCAATGACGGGGGGAAACTAGAATTTCAAACTGAGTTGTTTATTCTGTTTTGAGCTGCATGTGTATTTGTCGCTCTGGTTTTTATTTCTTTGACAACCCAGAACATTTTCCGACTGTACTGTAATGGCTCCCACGGCCCAGTCCTGTTCTTGCTCCATGGTGGAGGCCACTCTGCACTTTCCTGGGCTGTGTTCACTGTGAGTGTTACTCTCTAAAGTCCCTCTTTCATCACATTGATATGAAGATTTCAGCATGTTTGTTGATCACCTTTTGTCATAAATGTTTTTTTCACAGGCTGTCATATGCAACAGGATCAACTGTAGAGTGGTGGCCATGGACCTCCGAGCTCATGGTAGGTAATGGTCATCACGTTAGAGCCATGTGATTTCTTCACTGATATCAGGTTGTGAATTTGGGCGGGAGACGAGCCACTTCTTAAAATAAAATATCTATATGAGGCTTAAAATGAATAATAAATAAAATAAGTGCATTTTGAGTTTACGAAAAAAGATTATGTATTCAAAAATACAAAATTTGACCTTTATTTAATCGAGGAAGTTGATGCATACTACTAGTTAAGTTATTTTAAAGTGTTTCTGGTTAAGTTTAATACTAGAGTCACACTATCTTTACACTTAAAGTGAATTTAAAACCAAATTTACTATACTGTTATTGAGTAAAGGCAGCTTGGAGTGTCTAATACCAAAAGCCTGTGCCGTCTTTGACTGTTTTCCTGTTTAAACCAGTAATGTTCCGATGGCCACAGAGAAACGGCTTGTTCTGAAACAAGTTGGTTTATCGTGTCATAAGCTTAAACACCACTTTAAATCTGCATGCCCCAACCCACTTAAACGTCTGTTTATCGCGGTGATGCTAACTGCAGAACAACGCTAGCCCGAGCTACTGCTAACGTCCTTGTTGGACAAGAAGAAGTTGTCAAAAAAAGATTATTGAAGCTCTCACATTCCAGGATGTACTGAAGATCCAGACTGTGATTGAGTGACAGATGGAGCCACAGCTTGCCATCTTTTTCTTCAAACCCCTTCACTTGAAGCCTAAAGAGTAGTTTGTGCTTCTGCATCAGCTCCACAAGTGAGAGACACACACGCATTGACAGAGACGTTTTGCTCTCGGACTTCTCCGTCTCTTTGGGAGTGTTGTAAAGCAATTCCTCACCAGGACAACGAAGGGCGTAGCGCTGTTCTGAGGTATCCTGTTTTGTATCTGGTTAAAGATGGCACATTTACTATTGTGTTTTTGTTGTGTTTTTTGTATTTCAGAGACTTTTTAACATGGAAAAATGTGTCCCTCATTCTCCTCCACCTCTTCATGCGCTTACACTTAATCTCTAAACCCACAGTTCCCGTCATTTCCATCCAAGAATAAAACGCTTGCTGCATATCTTTTTACCCCTCCAGTCACAGGTGAATAAGACGTTCATATAGAGTTTTTCCTTGAGGTATTCTTTAAGCTGCTACTATCTTCGGCTGTCTTTATGCTTTTGAAGGTGCAATGGCAGTGCTGTTGACGAAAGCAGCGTCCTGACCAATCACAAGCTTGCATTCTACGTCTCGTTCGACAGATGTTTAGAAAAGTGGGCTCGATTACGTCGATAATAGCGTTGCATGTCTCCACACAGACGCAGAAGCATAAACTAGGCTTAAGTTCCCTTAACTTTGTGTGACTTTCAGCTTGCAAGTACGAAGTTTGGCCGAATGTTTCTGCCCCTCAGTTGACTGGTCCATGTCTTGTCAATCATAAATGTACCCAACCTATCAGATAACAGATGGGTGTGGCTGTGGGTGTGGCATTTTACTGAGCTGCAGGTCCTGGAAGCGTTGAACTGGAGGTTTTAATTGAAGTGGTTTATTATGTTAATGTGCCTTTTTCTTTGCAGGAGACACCAAAGTTAAAAATCCTGAGGATCTTTCTGCAGACACAATGGCAAAGTAAGTTCTTGTCCACTGACTTGTAGAGTTTAAACACATTCTGCAGGTTTCTGCGTTTCATTTTCAGGCTAGTTTAAAATAAGTTGTTTGTCGTTGGTTAATATCTTAACTGAAAAGAGAGATTCAGTAAATATAACAAGGCTAACCGGCTGTTCATGTGTTTTCCAAAAGAGATGTTGGTAAAGTGGTGGAGGCACTCTATGGAGAGAGCCCACCTCCCATCTTGATAATTGGCCACAGTATGGGCGGGGCCATTGCAGTTCATACAGCCAGTGCCAATCTAGTGCCGTCCCTGCTTGGGCTGTGTGTCATCGATGTTGTAGAAGGTAAACTCTCGTGCTTTTTTCTTTGTTGCATCATATCAGAGCAAAGCTCACAAAGATTTACCTTCACATAGTTTTAGGAGCCCCCCCCCCCCCATGCTGTCTGGCAGTGCATTCAGAATTGGTGTCTGGGTGCCCTTAGAACAATTGCCCAAGAGAGAAAAGAAAACAAAAACCACGGCATCGACTAGGGCTGGGCGATATGGGCCAAAACTTATATCTCAATATCGTTTAGCTGAATTCCGATAAACGATTTATATCTCAATATTTTCCCTCCTGTAACATATTAATAAGTTAACTGCCTTCAAGCTGTCTATAATGATGTACAGCAAACTAAATGTATTGATTCTCATCAAACATTGACCCGAGTGCCCAAGCTAATCGCTAGCCGCTATGCTTGCAGCTTGACTAGTTTTATCGATAAAGTCATCTCGTTTCTTGCTTGAAATTAAATCGATATTTTTTTAAATATCGATAAATTGCCCAGCCCTACCATCGACCAACAAATGCACGTTTAGTGTTCCTGATAAATACTAAAATATCATAAGTGGCAGCCACAGACTTGTTAAGTGTGTGTATGCGGTTCTGTGGTTTCTCCCTGACATTATTTACTACGGGTGTGGAGGACCCCAGGCCCGTCCCTCCCAGGCCCTGAAGCAGACCATGGGGAATGATAAGAACTATGGGCCATTCCCATCTGTACCTGGTTAGCCCAGCCCGGATAGCTCCAGTCGGCCCCAGCCTGGCTCGGTTGATTCCACACATCCTTGCTTAGTTATACAAGGAATGCAGTCAGACATTTTCAGCTTCTAGGCAATCAGCATGATAATGTATGATAATGAATTGAGCATGCCTTAAGCCCATGTGGGCTATTCTACCGACCAATCAGAGGCTTGCTCTAATGGAAGGTGTGAATTTGCTGTCAGCCATGGGTGTGTTGGCCCTGGTCAGCCTGAAGCAGTCCACCTCAGAAAGAGGGCTGAAAAACAGTCTCATTGCACCCTGAAAAAAGGCAGGCCACCAAGATATGTAAGCAAGACCACATGCCACATGCCGGGCCGACCAGGTACAGATGGGAATGGCCCAAAGGTCACCCAGGACCTCCCAAGAGGACAGGGACCCCATGATGATCACCACAGGAAGGACCACAGTCCTCCCCCAACAAAGGGACCGTCGACCAAAGGAGCTAACCAGCAGCTACAGTACAGAAACCTCAGGGGGCTGCAGTGACAATCCCACAGACCCCACCTGCAGCCGGCTCCCCCTGAGCAGACTGGAATATGGACCCAGAGACCCGAGACTCCAGGGCACCTCGCCACCCGGCAGGAACCCAACCAGTCCAGGAAGCACCAGACTCCACCAAGCATCTGCTGGAAGGGAGCCAGTGCACACCCAGTCACCCAGCCCTTACCAAGAGCCACCAGCACCCTAGATTCTGAAAGGGAGTTTGAAGGGGGGAGATGGGCCTGTGTTGGAGTCTAAAGGATGTAATATAGAAGCCAAAATGAAACTAAAGATCTAATAATGAGGTCATCAGTGAAAGAGTTTTTCTTCTCTAGGTACTGCCATGGATGCTTTGAACAGCATGCAAAATTTCCTCAGAAGTCGGCCAAAGACGTTTAAGTCTCTGGAGAATGCCATTGAGTGGAGGTACACGTTTGATCTTCGAGAGCTGCATCATTTCCCCCTGCAGGTGTCGAATGTTGATGTTGGCTAACGTTATCTTTTGTTTTAGTGTGAAAAGTGGCCAGATTAGAAACCTGGAGTCAGCTCGGGTGTCGATGGGAGGACAAGTGAAGAAGTAGGTTCTTGTTTTTTGTACGTTTAGATTCTGATCAAGTATATTCACCCGTTTCTCTTCTTCTAATCACAGATGTGAGGAGTCCATCAGCAGCCCAAGTGTTACCAACAGCCTGGGTGAAGGCATCATCGAGGAAGAGGAGGATGAAGAAGCAGAGGAGGAATCAAACAAGAAAAGAATGAAGGAAGATGAACACCAGGTTCAGTTTGTGACTGCTTTTCCTCTCTGATGTGACCTTTTCCTTGTAGAAACCCACTGAAACAGGCCGAGTTCTACTTCCAGGTCAAAAAGGAAAGCGTCTTCACTTGGCGAGTGGAGCTGTCAAAGACGGAAAAGTATTGGGAGGGCTGGTTTAGAGGTCTGTCAGCACTCTTCCTCTCCTGCTCTGTGCCAAAGCTGCTTCTGCTTGCAGGTTTGTTCTTCGTCTACCACTCAGATTTTTTTTTTACCTGATGTTCTGAAAGGTGGTTCAGGGAGAATTTTACCACAGTTTCACTCCTGACTTGTTCCTTTGTCCAGGAGTGGACCGGCTGGACAAAGACCTTACAATTGGACAGATGCAAGGTAAATGTGCTGCATTATATCAGTGTGTTGTAGAATGTGTTTGTCTCATTGACAGCTGCACCCTTTGTCCACAGGGAAGTTTCAGATGCAGGTCCTACCTCAGTGTGGACATGCTGTCCACGAGGACGCACCTGATAAAGTAAGAGTCCTTCACCTGCACCGATAAACCAAAGGAAGGGGTTCTGTTTGACCCACAGAGTCTTCAGCTGTTTAATTTCTCTGGTGTTTTCTGTTAGGTAGCAGATGCTCTCGCAACATTTATGGTCCGGCACAAATTCACCGAGTTTAAGGAAGGATTTCTGTGGTAAGTGAAACAAAAATCAACACAAAACCCATCACAGATAACGCAAAACAGCTCAGAGGGATAGCTTTGTATCTGTGGGGAATCATTACCTCACTTGGGTTAGGTGGTTCTGGGTTTAATGGATCTGTTTTGTCTATCGTAGCGAATCCATCTGGATCAATCCGCTCTTATGCTGTTGGGTCCAGGGAGAATGGGAACTAGTTTATTGTAGGAAAATGTATAAAATGAAAATTGTCTTGAACTGGTTATTTTCATAGATTCTGATTCTTTCTTTGTATAGTTTTGATTTGAAACCTGATTAGTTTTAACATTAATTTCATGGGTTTATTTTACAAACATGCATTTTTGGAATAAACCTCATTAGAAGAAGAAGAAGAAAAGATCTTTTCTGTAACGCCTCTCAAGATAAAAATCATGAGGTGCTTCACAAAAACAAAAAATGTAAAAAATTTAAAAAGAATTTGGAAAATGATTAAAAATATATTCAAAATGAGCAAAAATAGACAATTGTGATTCAAAGTGTAAAGAGAGGGAGTGAATACGAAAGAGGGAAATCAGTGGATCCTGAGGAAGGTGGAATAGGTGGGGAGAGCAGAACAAGGAGAGGGTGATGAAGGTCACACCAAAACCAGCTTGGACAAGTGAGTCTTCAGCTGCTTTTTAAAGGAGACCACTGAGTCCACTGATCTCAGGCTCAGGGGGAGAGAGTTCCAGAGTCTGGGGGCCACAGCAGCAAATGATCTTTGGTCTTTAGCCTGGTGCTGCACAACCAGTAGGCTTTGATCACTGGACCTCAGGGGCCTGCTGGGGGTGTAGGGACTAAGAAGATCACCAGTGTAAGATGGTGCTTGTCCATGTAAGGCCCTATAGACCAGAACCAGGATCTTGAAATGAACCCTGAAGTTGACTGGCAGCCAGTGAAGCTGGAGGAGAAGCGGGGTGATGTGGGTGTGTTTGGAGGACTTGATCAGAAGCCGAGCACAGGCATTCTGAACCACCTGTAGACGGTTCAGGGAGGTTCTGCTCGGACACGTGAAAAGAGAGTTACAGTAGTCTAAGCGTGAGGAGTTGAAGGTGTGGAGAACTGTCTCAAGTTCAGAGCGGGACAGAATGGGACTCAGCTTAGCAATGTTCCTGAGATGGAAGAAGGAAGAGCGAACAAGAGAACTGACATGAGAATCCAGGGTGAGAGCTGGGTCAAAGGTCACGCCAAGATTCCTGACGGAAGGTTTGGTGTGAGAAGCAAGCTGACCAAGAGAGTCTCTGACTTTGGGAAGCAAACAACTATTCTATTAAATTACTTCTATAATTTCACAATCGTGCACTTCAAATTCTAGTGTAAAATTATCCATTTCCAAAAGAACTATAATACTTGTGTCAGGTAATGCTTCCTTTTACAGTCCCCTAATTACTAAGTACTATAATGGTAATTACATAGTAAGTTACAGTGTATTATTGTTTCTGAGTTCCTAAACAGTTATTACCATGTAACTCAGGTTCAAATCTAGTTTTTATTTTATTAATTATTCCCAGTAAATACTGCTTTTACACACTTTATTACATTTATACACTTTAATTACACAATAATACACTTTAACTTACTATGTAATTACCATGTAAGTACTTAGTAATTAGGAGACTGTAAAAGGAAGCGTTACCTTGTGTCATACTTGTTTTCTGTGGTATTAAACCATTATTGGTTTGTTTTTATTGTGACTAATATTTTTTTTGTCTTGTTTTGTTTTTCTGCAGCTAACTTCCTGTCCAGATCCCAGCAGCAATTGAAGACAAGTTTCATCATCACTGAATGTCAATGTCAACAGCAAAATAAATAATTGTTACTTTTGTTCTGTAGATATTTTTGCCTTTCAGCTTTGCCTTATTTTTATTTGAAAACGTCAGACTTTGATTGTTCGTTTCCTGGACATCAGCTGTATTATCATTATTGTTATTATTTAATGCTCTCCTTGTTAAATGGTTTATTTTAGAGGGACTGCATTATTGTTCATGTGTGTTTGCAATGTTTGAATTCAAACTGATGAAGAAGATTAAAGATGAATGCAGCCAACGACGCCCTGTGTTTCTGCTTGTGTGCCCCGAGAAATCAGATTTGTTAGGGTTGTGTAGTTTTGCTTCAGAAGATTTTTATTTTCAGTTGTTTTTTTGTTTTTTGTTAAAGCAAATATAGAATTGTTTTGTTCTTAAGTTATTTTGAAATAACATGAAATGTTAATTTCTACTTCAGTTGTCCTAATTATTGCTTGTATTACTTTATTTTAAAATGCTTCCAGTACAGGAGAGAAATTATTTGTTTGCAGCCTCAGAACTTTTGGAACAGATGATGAATTTCATGGAACAAAAAGCAGTTTTAATTATCCCTCAATGGGCCAAGATGAGAAATATGTTGCAAGTGCATATAAACTGGTGAATTATTAATGAATCATAATGACTGTCCTCTACAGAGTCAAAGCTTTTGAGATTATTTTGTGATTAGAGTCAACAAACAATATTTCCTAAAGGTAGTTGGATCATTTAGGTTTATCAAATATCTGCCTTAAACATCAGCACTGAAATCAGTCTACCTCCTGTTCGGGCATTTGCTCCTTACCGACTCCCTTCAGCTCCTGCTGATGATGCTGCTGTACCTGTTTGCTCTGACCAGGATCAGAATGACCACCTGGGTTTGTGTTGTGATCACTCACCTTACAGCCATCACGGGGAAGCTGTCGCCCATCAACCTGGCTGTAATGTCTGTGGAGAGATACTTGGCCATTTGTTTTCCACTCAGACACGCCACCATTGCAACACCCAAGACGACCGGTGCAGCCATCTTTGCCATGTGGTCTATGGCCTCTTTAGAGTCCTTCACGCAGCTCTTTCTGTTTATCAGGCTTAACAATGCAGACCTCACCACTCAAGGCTTCTGCAGCACTAACACTGTGTTTTGGCTGCAGGTTTATATGACGTTGAATAGGACTTTCCCTATAGTTAACTTTGTTTTAGTGAGCGTCATTATCATTTACACCTATGGTGCAGTTATGGTTTCAGTGAAATCCTCCGCCTCTTTTGCTCACAAGGCTGAAAATGCATATAAGATCGTGCTGTTGCACATATTTCAGTTGTTCTTGTACCTCTACTCTGTTTAACATGATTAACTCCAGTGAACTGTTGCATTTAAATCCTGCCATTACTATTTAGGTTGAGTACATTCTTTTTTTTAGGTCTGATTGTTCTCCCTAAGTGCTCGAGCCTGCTCATATATGGCCTAAAAGATCAGTCGTTGGTGCGTGTTTTCCAGTACTATTTCACCTTCGGCTTCAGAGGTACTCTCAGTCTAAATCCCCAGCCTTAATTAAATCCGTGTGTGTGTGTGTGTGTGTGTGTGTGTGTGTGTGTGCGTGCGCATAAAAGGTTTACCAGAAAAAAGTGTCTTCAATTGCTCTTAACTTTTTTTATGTCCACATGAGTAAATAAACTTGTTAGTTGTTTAATTTACTAACAACACTGCAGTTTCAATAATGACTCTATATTTAAATACTGATTATATGTTTCTGAAATAAAATTACGTGAAGTTTATTCACAATATTTTGTTGACATATGTTACAATAACTCCTTAGTACAAAATTAGAAATGACTATAAACAGGCTTACATTATTATGAAATGTTAACATATTATTTTTTATTTGTTTCATTTATACTTTTATTTTATAATTAAAACATAAAACATTGTGTAAAACACTGTAAAAAACACCAACGACACATTTGTTGAATAAAAATGTATAGTTGTGGCAACATTTTAAATAGAATAAAACAGTTTAATGCAACAAAGCTGGAAACTCATTTAAGTCTCTTTATAATTGCTTTATTGTTTAACGTGAATAAAAATAAACTAAATAACAGAAAAACCTAAAAGTGTGGTCACATTTGTTGTTGTTTATACAACATGCCCACTTTTTATTTGTCAGGTTTATTATTATTGTCATTGTTATTATTGTTGTTGTTATAGTTTACTATTATTATTATTATTATTATTATCATCATATGAATCATCCATTGGTGTGATCATAAATTAATCAAAAATTGACACAATAACCTTAGTAAAAATGTTATTGATGAATAATAATAATATTAAGATTAATAATCCCTGTCTGTGTTGATAGTTCCACGTTTCACCCAGCAGATGTCACCTTTTGATTATAAACTGTTCTGCAGCACAAGCTGACTCTCCTGTTCCTACATTGGTTTTGTAAACATGTGACCGTTATTGTGCAATAGGAACAAAGAATATCATCAAGATTATTCTCATCTTCTTTTATAACGTGCATGAAGAAATGTGCAGGAAAAAGAGGGTTTAATCTGTGCAAGGTAATTTAGGTTGGTAAACATGCAGGCAGGTGCATGCCAGCTGAATAAAGGAAGCATCTGAGCAGGAGCTGGGTTAATTTAAGCGATCTTTACTCCGCCACAATCCTAAAGCCCTCTCAATACCTCTCTGGTCTCTGTGAAAGAGTACTTGAAAGGTTGAAAAACATTCCAGAGTGAGAAAGTACCTGGTGACCAAAGCTGCTTGAGTTGAGAATAAGAGCGGGAGCGAAAAGGTTGATGCGATAATAACAAAACCCTTCAGATCTCCGACCAAGACAGTGGATCTTCAGTGTGTTGTGAGGTCCATCTGTATAAACAAGATGTGCACTTTAAAAAAGCCTGAAGCACAAACAAAGGGTGGCACAGAAACCCAGAAAGCATGGTCTCTTTCTGGTATGTTGCTCAGGAAGCACACTTTATAATCCATTCTTGACTTCTGTTCACAATTCTTCTGTGTAAAAATCCAGGTGCTTACACGACATTTGTCAGTGTCTGCTGATTGTGCAAGTTCTTAACTTCTCTGTAGCTGAACAGCCAGAAATGAGGCTTCAAATGTGCAAGTAAGCTGCCCATGTGGGAGGAAATAATAAGATCACACGAAAGAAACAGTTTATTCAGTAGAATTATTCCACCACTCTATATGAGGAGTCTGTTGAAACAGTCATGAAGGGTTTTATTACAGATTCTACGGTCCACACATGCCTCAGCGCTAATGGTGAAGCAGTGTGAGTTTCAGGTGAATGAAATGGTTGGAAAGTAACTCTTAACAGTGTGATTTAAGTGAAAGCACTGACCTGGTTAGGTTTCTGTTCCCTAAAACAGGTTGTCTGCCGTCTCGCATGCATTTACACGCAGAGACTGAATTATAGCAACTTCAGCTACATTTGCCTCTGTTTAAAACACCCAGATGGATACAGTAAGTATGGGTAAAACAAACTACTAACTCATGTTTTATGTGATTATAAATAAGTACCAAAGTTCAATTAACGTGGCATTTGTTTAAGTTTAAACATCATGAGTTGCTCATTTAAAATGTCACAATAAGTCTTTGAATGCTAATTGGGAAACCTTGCCATCATGGGTAAGTGTTTTAGTTAATACAGAATAATCATAAATGGAGGTAATAACAATGTATTAATATTCTAATTATTCACCAACAGTAAAACACGGTGGAGGTCCCATCATGCTGTGGAAACAATGTGCTTTAGTGGATTATGATTCAAATACATTTTAAAAATCGTATCATGAGTGACGTATGTGCCTAACATTCAGGAACCACGGTGAGATGTGAAGATGCTGGATTTTGATCAGAAACACACATCCAAAAGCAGAAAAGAATGGTTTAAAGTTTTGATTATGCATTGATTCTGGTTTAGAGAGTCAGATATGATTTACTAAAGATCTAATCTGCTTACATCCATTTTATCTGATTCTATTTATTCCAAAAAAGCTTCAATTACAGGAACTTCTTTTCTTAAAAATGTTTTTGGTTAGCTTGAAAATCCCACATGGATGAAGTGTTTTTGCTATAGCAGGATTTGGCACTTAGTAATGGTGAGTGGGTAATGGTGAGAAAGCATGAGCATGCAGGTTGGAAAGGGTGGATAAAAGTATCAGATGTGATAAAATGATTTTTTACATTAATGAGAGGAAAGGTGTAGGTAATGAGAGAAGCCTTTTTGCCTGCATGGTTCAGAGATGGTGTCTCTTTAAGAATCATGAAGTTGGATGGGATCAGGAATGAGTCAATTTTTTTAGATGTTTTGGGGATAAACTCAGAAAAGTCAAACCAAGGTGCAAACTGTTTGCAGAGTCTGAACATGTCAAAACCACCTCAGTTTGCACCTCAGTTTGACTTTTCTGAGTTTATCCCCAAAACAGAGGAGAGAAAATGATTACTGAGGTAGATGGATGCAAAGGTTGAAGCCATCTGGTGAGAGGCTGTAGGATCATTTATTTGAGTGTTTGTTCTTTACATAATCAGACTAGATGCAGCAACACCCGTGATTTTCACATCTTGATCATGTAAAATGAGATTTGTGACACACATAGATCTCTACACATTTCAGTGCACTGACCAATAGAAATGTGCCATGCCACCAAATGAGGAGGGCCAAACTAAGGATAATAACTAATGCAGGAGGAGATTCTGGGCCCTTCTGAGTGATGATCATTGTCACATGGGCGTCACATTTTCTTGTTTGTACCATTTTTTATGCTTTTTCAAATTCATATAAACAAATTTAAAACCAACCTACAGACTAATGGCAATTTTGGGACTGCATCGGAAACAGGGAACAGAGTGTTACTGGTGTTCCTCCCCTAGATGTAAAGAACCAGGAAAGTAAGGCCGGAGAGCTGGAGATGATCCAGACAAGAAAGGAGCTTTCTACAGACCAATAACAAATGGTGCTGGAACCCGGGATCCTTTGTGTGAGGAAGACCAAATCATTGATTTAAGGATGCTGTTAAAGTGGACATACAGTTAATTGGTGAGAGGGTGGAGGAGAAGATGACTAAATGGAGACAGATGACTGGCTGTGGTGATCTCTGATGGAAAAGCCCAAAAAGAAATAATGGTGAGTTCACAGACTGGCAAAATGTTGAATGCTTTTTTAGTGCTCAACAGTGGTGCATTAATTAAAACAAAGGAAAATTCTAGAGTTTCAGACTGTCCGATCATGCTGAAGGCTGATCAATTCTGATCTCGTGAAATTAAATGAAATCTGTCTTGTTGGCATTTTCTTCATCAAATATCCTGATCATTAGATTCAGGTTCTGAATATATTTTCACGTTTGTTCCACACATTTAAAAGTGACTATCATTTAGATCAACACAGAGTAACTGGGTCAACCATTATAGTAGCAGAACAAGCTCTCAATGTATAAATTAAATCAAATATGTCAAAATAACTAAACACTTTCCACTGCATTTTATAGGTTTTATAAGCTCAGCGTCGATAATAAACAGACATTTAAAAATGTCGAATCCGTGCACTTGCAGCTCTAAAATGTGTCCCTTTTTCTACAAAGAAAGCGGCGACGGCAGTAAAGCAAAAAGTGATCTAATGAATCAATATATGTGGAGTTATCAACAGAGATGACGTAATGTGTACGCTAATGGATCCTTCCTTAAGGGGGGAGGGACGCTGTGGAGCCTCGGCCAGGGTCCGTTCATATCCCAGTCAGGTGTGCTCCAGACACCCCTGCCCGTTGCGGTGTAGATGGTACAGTCCACATGCAGTCCGGAGTTGTTGCTGAGGAGCTCCCACTATTCAGCACCGTTCAAACTGGCATGCAGCCTACGCTCTGGGCACGAAGCAGGAGACTGCGCTTCTCATGAAAAATGTTACCCTTTTCTCAGCGGGGATACCTCGGACAGAAGGGCAGGGTTGCGATATATCACGTATTGTGCATTATTTCAGGTGAGTTTTGTATTTTGTGTGATAGTTTAGGTCGCTCCATCCTTTCCACAGAAGTTTTGTGAAGGAGCTGACTGACAGACACGTCTCACGGGAGTTGGCTTACGTCGCGTGCGCCTTGTGAAGTTATAATTTTAGCTAGTGTAACGGTTATCGTCTACAGACTTTATCAAGTTATTATTATTTTTTTTTTTTTGTATTTGGGTAGAAGTGTTAACTAGTCCCACTACCTTGATGGTGCGACCCAACGAGATTCAATATGTACCTCCACTCTGTTAATGTCATTGTCTCATTACCAGGCAGCCACATTAGCATCACAAAACTTTGTTTTTAAGTTACACGATGCTTAGATGCCACCTGCTCTCACCGAAGTGTTTTAGAAGTTGGGTTCGCCTCCCCCCGCGTCGGGATCGGGGTCAGCCACCATGTGCCTGTGCTGCTGCCAGAGCTCATTAGGGTTTAATCAAAGAGGCTGTTAACTTACCCCACCCAGGAGCACAACTTTCTGCCTAGAACTCAGCTGCTGCCTCAGTAAAAACTCCAAACCAATAACGTTTCCATTGGGTTCCAACTCAAATCTGCTCTTTTATCATTCCCACCGTATAAAACCATTCATGATAATATGGCACAGATGAGGCTGATTTCCTCTGAAAACTGTCCTATAAACCGGAAAACAAGTTTATAATTTATGTTTAGTGCGTTTTATAGTCAAATTGCATCTGCTAAACCACACTGAGTCACTAAACAGTATTTTTAAATTAAATTATAAATCAATTTTTATTCTACATGGTCTCATATCACATAATGCATCAACACAGTATCTTCCAAACCTCACAAATGGTATGTTTATACCACAGCACAAAACCACTGTTTGATGCTGTAGGGGTCTCTTGTACAATTAAGCATCAGTACAGTGTGTGGTGACAAGAAGCCTTTGTCTGGTGCTCTGTGACAAAACCTTCAGTAGCCCCTCACCGGCATAGTTTGCATATTTGCTGAGATAATTAATGCTATTTGCAGAAGCCCCTAGTTTCTCACCTGTTGTTAAATCTACAAATTTAAGTAAAAAAAAAAAAAAAAAAAGATGGGTGTCTTGTTTAAATTCAGTTTAAGTTTTCTGCACATTTCAACAAGGGCCTCAAACATATGCTTTTTATTGAATGTAAAAAAATGTGTTCCTCCATAAAACTCATTATGTAAAGGTCTTAAAGCAGTGCAAACACTTCTTACATCTTGATCTTTCTCTTTTTTTTAAACTAACACCCTGCATTTCAATAAAATCAAATTAATTATGTTCCTTGCCTTAAGGGATGATATATAAATTGATTCTTCATTACTTGGATGATGCCAAATTTAGGAAAATTGAAAGTGCTTAATTGGTTTTGTACTTGTAGCATCAGCCTGTGCTCTACAGGTGCTGGCCAGTAAATTAGAATATCATCAAAAGGTTGAAAATATTTCAGTAATTCCATTCAAAACGTGAAACTTGTACATTATATTCATGCAATGCACACAGACAAATGTATTTCCAATGTTCATTACATTTAAATTTGATATTCATAAGTGACAACTAATGAAAACTCCAAATTTGGTATCTCAAAAAATTAGAATATTCTGAAAAGGCTGAATATAGAAGACACCTGCTGCCACTCTAATCAGCTGATTTACTCAAAACACCTGCAAAGGCCTTTAAAAGGTCCCTCAGTCTTGTTTTGAAGGCACCACAATCATGGGGAAGACTTCTGACTTAACAGCTGTCCAAAAGACAATCATTGACACCTTGCACAAGGAGGGCAAGACACAAAAGGTGATTGCTAAAGAAGCTGGCTGTTCGCAGAGCTCTGTGTCCAAGCACATTAACAGACAGGCGAAGGGACGGAAAAAATGTGGTAGAAAAAAGTGTACAAGCTCTAGGGATAACCGCACCCTGCAGAGAATTGTGACGACAAACCCATTCAAAAATGTGGGGGAGATCCACAAAGAGTGGACTGCAGCTGGAGTCAGCGCTTCAAGAACCACCACGAGGAGACTCATGAAAGACATGGGATTCAGGTGTCGCATTCCGTGTGTCAAGCCACTCTTGAACAAGAAACAGCGCAAGAAGCGTCTCGCCTGGGCCAAGGTCAAAAAGGACTGGACTGATGCTGAGTGGTCCAAAGTTATGTTTTCTGATGAAAGCAAGTTCTGCATTTCCTTTGGAAATCAAGGACCCAGAGTCTGGAGGAAGAGCGGAGAAGCACAGAATCCACGTTGCATGAGGTCCAGTGTAAAGTTTCCACCGTCAGTGATGGTGTGGGGTGCCATGTCATCTGCCGGTGTTGGCCCACTCTGTTTCCTGAGGTCCAGAGTCAATGCAGCCGTCTACCAGGAAGTTTTAGAGCACTTCATGCTTCCTGCTGCTGACCAACTTTATGGGGATGCAGACTTCACCTTTCAACAGGACTTGGCACCTGCACACAGTGCCAAAACCACCAGCACCTGGTTCAAGGACCATGGTATCCCTGTCCTTGATTGGCCAGCAAACTCGCCTGACCTTAACCCCATAGAAAATCTATGGGGTATTGTGAAGCGGAGGATGCAATACGCTAGACCCAACAATGCAGAGGAGCTGAAGACGACTATCAGAGCAACCTGGGCTCTCATAACACCTGAGCAGTGCCACAGACTGATCGAGTCCATGCCACGCCGCATTACTGCAGTTATTGAGGCAAAAGGAGCCCCGACTAAGTATTGAGTGCTATACATGCACATTCTTTTCATGTTCATTCTTTTCAGTTGGCCAACATTAGAGAAACAAACATTTTTTCATTGGCCTTTAGAATATTCTAATTTTCTGAGATACCAGATTTGATGTTTTCATTGGTTGTCACCTATAAATATCAAATTTAAATGTAATGAACATTGGAAATACATTGGTCTGTGTGCATTGCATGAATATAATGTACAAGTTTCACGTTTTGAATGGAATTACTGAAATATTTTCAACCTTTTGATGATATTCTAATTTACTGGCCAGCACCTGTATGTGCAGGAAACACTGAGCAATAACAAGGGACAACTAGGGCAAGCGCAATAGGCCTGCTGTGTATTGCTGATGGTAATTGACATATTCAGTGTTTTGAGTAAAACGGTAAGTCCCATTAGAAAACCAAAAGTCCAACTTAAAGTGGTACTTCACTGAAAAACATTTTAATTATTATTTCTAATTATAATCACTCACTGTGAGTTGTTTCATGCAGGCTGAACATGAAAACAGTCTCCTACAACTATCTCCTGCATAGCTTCTGATAGAAAAATAGATGGTGAAACTCTAGGATTAGAAAAGCCTGACAGATCTACATTACACTGTCACTTAACATTCATGGACTCACCCATCTTGACTCACAACAGGGAAGGCTGTTGTTTAGCGTCCAGAAAACGGCAAAGAACATCTTGACTAGTATAAGCTAACTGTTAGCATTAGCATCTCCACCACATGGCAATACTCCTCCAGGCTTTTATTATTTGTGGAGATAAAACATTGATGTTGCAGAGCAAACAGTGTCAGTGGTAGAGTTGTTTTGCTGTTATCTAATTTGAAGATGTCCAATTCCTGTCGTCTGGAGTTACTTTTTCCTATGGCTGAATTCTCCATTTGTAAACAAGCACATCTGAACTTTTTTCCCCCTGAGTACAACTTACGCGACATTCATTTCCTAATGGAGACCACTGCAATTGGAATAAAACATAAGTCAAGTACCCCTTTAAATTACAAAAAAAGTGAAAAGAACAAGTTTACATTGATTTGATTAAAATTGAAATTGGAAAAGTTTTCTGCCGAGATTTTCATTTATTTAGAAACAACAATAAAATAGAAGAATAATTCTGTGGCATGTTGTGGATTCATCTTTGAGTACAGTGCAATCATTTGAAAACCTCCTCTGGTCTTTTTCTACATTCTCAGCCTTGGACTTGTTTGGAAACATTATTATGTTAAGAAATGGCCTCAGTAAAAATCAGTTAGACTGTGATAAAAGATAGCTGTGGTGCTACAAGAGTCCAACATTCAGAGTCCTGTCCTCATAACCACGAATCCCTGTAACTAAAACTTCACAGGTATCTCTTTGAAAGAAGTGATTACAAATATCAGGGATTTAATGACCATATCCCTCAATTAATTTGCTATCTTGCTAAGTTAAATGGTAAACACTTAACCCTTACTATAACTCTTAAACTGGACCATTTGACCTGTGATCTTCAATGACTGGAAGAAGAAAAGTAAAACACCTTCTGTAAAGTGAGCTATATTCTGTTTTCTACAGTAATATTTTCACAGATTGGGTTAAATTCGAAAACTATGCATTTACAGTAGCTTCTTTTATTTATTTATTTTTTACAATGGAATAAGATTTTCTCTTGTCTCAGGGGCATTTAAAGTAGACATTACTAATTCCATGTCAATAGACTGCACGTAGAATTAGTCAGATGTTGCCCTCATTATTGTTATTCTTTCTACTGAGTTGGAAAAAGACATGCCCAGTTATGCAAGGTTATCATCACGTTGCCAATAAAATTTTATTCAGTCGATGTACCTCTTCCATTTCATATTCAGTGCAAGAGGAAATGCAGGTTTTTTTCATAGTTTTTTCCCACTATGCTATTTTTTATCCACTCCGAAATGCACAGAATCAGCTTTTTACTCAACAAAGTAGATTATTTGCTCCAAATTGTTACGACAATCCCATTGTATGTGTGGTATCTGTATACATGCACAGGGTTTCCCCCAGAAAATGAGTTAAGCCTGGCGGATTCGGCGGTTGGGTTCGTGTGCTCCGTCCCGCAGCGCTCCTCCGTGAGAGCGGGGGGTGGGGTGGGGTGGGGTGGGGGGGTTGCATACGTTCCGCTGCTGTTTCTCACCAGTATCAGCTGATGGAGGGCTCTAGTTTCGTTGCGACGTTCGTGTCAGCGGACACGGTAGGGTCGCGGAGGTGGGCGGGGCATATAAAGGGCTGGGGGGAAACCCA